CCCTTCTCTCGTTGCGCAAGGAATTGATAGAATTAGTTATGTAACGACGCGCGTATTAACGCAATGCGATAGCTGACGAGTGCGTGTACAGTACAGGTGATTAACGGGGAGGATTGTGTAACGTTTGTGCGTGCGCGCCGTTAACATTTCCCCTGCGGGAACAATCAGGGGGAAACGGGGGCGGACAGTTTCGCGCACCGACGCTAATTTCGTTATCGCGCGTTACAGTGGCGAAGCCATAATCGAGAGAACAACGTCATCGAGAAGGCTGGCTAATGACATGATAGAAGCGAAGGCTTTTACGCTAATAAGCCATTTAATATCCCAGTGATTTTCTATCATTCTAAACCGACCGAAACACTTTTATTTTATTGACAAAACACCGTTGGACAGACGTTCGCAGAAATGTAAATTATATAAGGCTTTACTGAAATGTCTACAAATGATGTGATCAGATTTAAAAATAATTTTACTGAGCCATCAGAATAATTATACACGGAAAGACCAATTTTGCTGGCAAGTCTGAAAATTTAACTAGATACAGATCTGAAAATAATTTTGTTGGCCCATCAAAATTATTATTTTGTAGAACACTTAAATAATGATGATTAATACTGCAAAAATGTTTGATCTAACAATTAATTTGAACATCATATATAATAATTTTGCTTAAAGTAAAACATTATATGATAATAATATAAACATTTTTAATATTCCAGCAATTAATATAAAAGTGTTCCACACAATTATTTCGATGACTTAACAAATTATTTTTAGATTTGTATTTGGTTAAATTTTTTAATATTTCAGCAAAATTTTTATTCTTTTTGCGCGCGCGCGCGCGCGTGTGAAATTATATAATTATATGTCGACTTTTGCATTACGATAAAAATTAAACGTGGCCTGATTCTCTTATCGTCGAATCGCTTATTCGCCTGAGGCGAATTCGCACTTTTCGATGACGGGAAGGCTCGAGACACCCGAAAACCCGATTCAAGGAGTTTAGCGTATCAACGCCATTCCAGCAGCTTGTATCGGCTACTTGATGAGGTCAGTTCGATCGCCAACCGTTGGTCAATGCCCTCTTGTCGGATCCGCCTGTTACGAATGAACGAACGAACGAGCGATCGATCGATCGCTCGATGGACCGGGCGAAACGGATTGATTTCAAGTAGCGTTACCGCACTTGGTTAATATAACGCTCACCCGGTATTACGTAAATTATGAACGATTTGTCGTGCCACCGATTTGAACATGGATACAAATCGTACTTCGTATCGACTCTTTAAAAGCCTGACGTGCTAATCTTTCTTGAGCGGAAAAATCAATGTAAGGAAAAAAATGGAATTTTTTCAATAAACGATATAAAAAATAACAAATTATTTCAATCAATCTCCCGGAATAATATCGATGTTGAATTATGAAAAAGTATATGAGAAGAACAGTTTTATTTAGTAAAATAATTAAAATTATTTAAAAATTTGGCCAAAAATAAAAAAAATAATTTTGGGCTATCAAAATATATAATAGATTTCTTAAGCATGAAAATAATATTATAAAAATTGTTGATATTCGAGTAACCAATTTGAATGTCTTACACATAATTATTAAGGTGTCAAATAAATTTTTTTCAGAAATGTATTTAATCAAATTTTTAAATACTTCAGCAAAACTATTATCCTTTTATATAAGTTTTCACATAAAAATTAATCTTCCAATTGTATTCTATAATTTCCGATAATTCCCAAGGATACAAGACTGGCGTTTTAGCAACGTGTATACTTTAGTTATCAGACGTTATATAAATATTAAAAGAAAATGACTGAGTTATCGCGCAGGTAGATTAAAAAAAGTTTACATGCGCAAGTTTCCGGCTTGTGAGGTGCGGATATCACAAGTAAAAAAAGTGAGTCTCCTATCATTGCCGAACCGGCTCGCGATAATAACATCAGTCCGTAACACGTGGCATTGCCATCCGTTTATCTCCGTTACATGGCGTTCGCTCGTCTCTGAGAATTGGATTCTAAGTGATAAAACCCGGTGTGAAAATTTACGAGGGCATCCAGTAATTCTATCTGCAAGAACATTATCTCGTGTTAACTGTAGCCAAGATGGTTGCGACACACTTTGCACCTCTACCTATTATTAATCCGGGAAAATCACACGGTAATATCTACCGAAGAAACTACTACTATAAATTTCACATAGAGATTTATTTGCTGCATTCTCATGCAAGATTCCCTGCGAAAATGTCAGCAATTTATTGCAAGAACGGAAATTAACACAAAGTAAAATTACTTAGTAATCTCATTTCTTGATAAAAGATGAACTTTTAATTATCAAAGATAAAAGAAATTTAAT